AAGCTTACCATATTCAAAGGAAAACTCATGCAAGCACCACATGCTCTACACCATTATTAACAAGTGCTACCTATTTTATGTCTTTATTATATGATATTAATAATTATCAACCAATATCATGATTCATGAGTAGCTCTTATATAGAGAGAGGCTCAAAGGCTTGGTAACATCACACAAACATTGAGCTTTACAATTATCTTTGAAGAAAATAATAATTCAAGAGCAAAATGGCAACAAAGAACCATGCTCGCTCCAATAGTTTTCCTTCTCAATCTCATCCTAACTCCACTAGAATAGAACAAGAGCTGAGCAAAATCAAGACATGGGAAACCACTTCAACATCCACACCTGATTCAATTACCATTGGTCTTTCTTTGCTGGAAGATTTGTACACTTCATTGGAAGATTTTCTCAATATGACATCAACACAAAAAGTCATTTCTCGGCATCAAGGTGAGAATTTTGTGGAAGACCTGTTGGATGGTTCGGTGAAAATTTTGGATATTTGTGGTATCACAAGAGACACAATGTTAGACATTAAAGAAAATGTTGAAGCACTTCACTCTTCACTTAGAAGAAGAAAGGGAGATTCAAGCTTTGAAACAAGTGTAGCCGAATATAACTTTTTCACAAAGAGGATGAAGAAGAATGTGACAAAGTTGATCACATCTCTAAAACAGATGGAAAGTAAATTTGGAGCTTCCTCACTTTTAAACCAAGATCAAGAAGTTGTTTCTGTGATAAGAGTTGTTAGAGAGGTTATAGTAATGAACATGTCTATCTTTCAATCCATTTTGTCTTTCTTGGCTTCCAAGTCAAAGGCAACCAAATGGTTGAAAATGGCAAAGTTGATGCATAAAAGGACAATATCAAGTGAGGAAGAGAATTTAAATGAATTGCAGCGCGTGGATGCATCCGTAAGAACCCTTTTATGCAAAGGTTCTGATGTTGCCAAAATGCAAGCTGCACGTGAAAGTTTTGAAGCTTTGGAGAGCACAATTGAAGGGATAGAGAAAGGTTTGGAAAGTGTATTTAGGAGTTTGGTTAAAACTAGAGTCTGTCTTTTGAACATGACACAATAGTCTGTTGGATCTTTATTTTCTCCCCAAAGCAAGTATCCAAATTTTAAGGATCTGCTGAGGATTGAAATATTTTGTTTGTAGATACATACAATGCAATAGTCATACATTACAATCAAATACAATAGACACAGTCTTTTGATTTTTCATAAAAACTTGAAACATAATTATGAGGGTATATCAATTAAGTTGTGGCAAGTAAATCCTACCCGACATTCAGAGTAAATTCTAAAATATTAACTATAGAATGAAAGTCTCCAAAAAGGAATGTGATACACCAGAAAAACTTGAATTAGATATCGCTTGGTAGCAAGATACTGTTACAGAAAGATATCCGGGTAATGTATCACAATACATGTATGATAAGCTGTCAAACTCCCAAACCATTTTGTTTCTGTAACAAAACCATAACATCTTTAATGGGCATATTTTGAACAAAAGCATTCGAGTCAAAGGGGCTCGATTTTAATATACACTTTCTAAAGACAACTTAGAAGATGAGATTGAATAGATCGGTCCCTTTTAAAAATAACTAAAATTTTCAATATAAAAATTAGAATTTAATGAGAAGAAGTTAAAACAATATAAAATGAAAGCATAGAATTTCATAACAATGGATTCTAACCAATGCATATCACTGTTATTACTAAAATAATGATCAAACAATGACTTGAGTCAACTGGGACAATTCAAGTTGTTTAATCTGAGCAATTTAATATCTCAACTTAGACATGTAATTTAACACAATTAACATAAGCATGATTCAATAGATTTGATACAACAGAGATCTATGGTTATACAATAAATCACTACAAGCACGATCTAACTTGAATGACATACAAATTATGATATGATTTAACTTCTACATGCTAAACGACGAAAATTAAAGAGAGATAGGAAAGGAAGAAAGTACACAAAGATATATAGTAGTTCGGAAACCGGCTTCGCTATGCCTACTCCCCCTCTTCAATGGTTTGAAAATATTGAAAAAAAATAATCAGGTCTTCCACTATTTTCAAAAGTTAATGTACAAGTATTTTGATACAACAAACTATCATCGATTCGGATGCTAATAGCCACACTACATTAACCTACATACAATTTCAATGATAATTCCTTCCGTTGATGCAGATACTCAACTACTACACACAAGATCCTCAATGATCTTTATTCAACTTCAATATGGTTGTAGCGATTGCAATAGTTATAGCGAATACCATGGCGCTGGCCACCACGTCCTCTATTTTGTCCACCATGACCATGGTAGTGGAAAGTCAAAGTAGGTGATTTAGTGGGAGATGGAGTAGATATCAGTCCAAAAGCATGAGGTGTGGCCAAGCGCAACAATTGTTCAATGAATAATTCATATTTAGGAACAGTGGATCCTGATAAAATTTGGTTACATACATAATTGAGTTCTGGTGGCAGTCTGATAAGTTCCATGATCATGAAAAACTTGTAACGTTGTTCTTCATGAGTTGTTGCATCATTTGTAAAAGGCATTAGAGTTGAAAACTAGCCTTCAATGAACAAGCTTACTAAGATAAGCTTGCATATCCATATTTTTCAATTTCAGAGTTGAGATTAAGGATGACACTATACAAACAATGGACATCATTGTATAATACTTTCTTAGTCTTTTTCTAAATCTCATAGCAAGTGGTAAAGGTTTAACTTGAAGATTACGTACTATGAAAAACCATAACATATTACATAGAGAGGAATCAGTTTGCTTCCATTTAGTGCGATGAACAATGGGAATATCCTTTGATTATTTTTTCAGTTGATCTTCAAGTCCTTGACCATGACACCACAACTTGACAGCATCAGTCTATATGTTATAGTTGGTTGTCCCAGTTAATTTTTCGCAAGGGATGAGCGAAATTTTGGTAAAAGTGATGAAATAGGTGGTAGAATGATCTCCTATAATAGTTGGTAGTTGAATAACGTTCAAATAAGGTCACTTGGTGAAAGGAGGACAATGGTGTTTGATATACCAAGTAGTGGTATCTTAATTTGTATTTTGATATAATTATTTTTGAATGATTGAGTTATGAATTACGTATGGTGTATGACTGATGTATAAATAATGTATTGTTTGTTATTGAATGAATGGTTTATGTAAGGTTTATTGTGTGAATAATATATAGTTGTGTAACTAATGTAAGGATAATGACTTATGTATATTATTGTTCTGGTGTTTATAATATTGTTTAATGGTTTGTCTGAAGATTGAAATTTGAAGTCATCCCTTTGTCATCTTTGAAGGTATGTTCCGAGATTGAAATCCGAATTCATCTTATGGTATCACATATATATATTTATAATACACATCCAATACAGTCTTTAAGATTTGTCTAAATATTAATATTTAGATTTACCCATTTGTTATCACATATACACATATTATCACATATACACATAATTCACTCATTTGTTATCTTGTAGGTGTCCAATAGAGATTGAAATCCAGATTCACATTATACATATATACATAATACACATCCAACATAATCTCAAGAGTTTGTCCGAATAGTGCGATATAGATTTACCCCTTTATTGTCTTTTACGAAGTACAGACAAGCATTATTGTTCTTGGTGTGTGTCCAAATTTTGTAATCCAAACATATTTTTTTACTTAGATGAGGGTGTGTGTGTTTCTAATGAAGAGATTTATTATATTTTGGTGCGTCTGAATTTCAACGCGAAAGAGATATTTCATTTTCCATAAAATTTAAGAGAAGCGGATGGATTGCAATGAACATATTTCGGAAGTTTTTTCATTACTGAGACTTCACTGTTATTTTGGTCTGTGGTTTGAGGCCGGTATGATTTGCTTGGCTATAAGCTTGGTTTAAGACACATGATAACACATGTTAAACCTTTAAATAAATATTTCTGGTGTCTAGTATGAGCTGATGAATTGATATGTATTTGAACCTTTATTCATATTTCAACAAGCAAAATTTTATTAAACCACAGCTAAGAAGCATAAGAGTAGATACAAACATTATGGCAGTTCATAGAGTGGATACAACAGGAGCTTGGCAAAGGTTACATAACAAATGCTCCATCCTATTGAGTCATAATTCATCACACATCAATATAAAGAGAAAGGTTAAAATTCTTCATAATAATCTTAATGCCTATCAGTATTCTCAATTTCTTTGTAATTTTTCTCCGCTAACATCAAAATTTCACATTTTCTCTTACAAGCAATCGCTTGTATCATCTCATCCTCAAAGCCATTCACATTTAACGCTGGGCCTCTTCAATTCATCTTCTTCATCTTCTTTTAAATAGGTAAATGGTACCAATCTTCTCCTCAAGTCCTCCTATATATCTAATCTCTCTAAGCAGTTATTCGCACGGCAAGCCGATCCAATGGTTCTAGGAGCCTAAAGCAAACTTAAAAAGAATAACACACGACTTATGAACTGAAAATATAATTTCATAATTTTGTTTTTATGAATGCAAGATTAAAACTTGTGACAAGGAAGATTGCAGGCAAACATTTTAAAATTTTGACCAACTGAACTATGCAAACATCAATCGCTTATCTATCTTATTATGTGTAAAGTTTTCATAGTTGTAAACTTTTATTTGGACTTAAACTATTATGAATATTGAACCAACGCATTCAAATACGAAAATGACTCTTTAATTCACTAAGTGAAGCATGTATCATTCAACTCAAATAAACTAATTAAAGTGTTAATCTAAAGGTTAATTATAAGTTATGGATTTTAAAATCTAATTAGTTATAACCATAAATGAAATTGAAACAAGAGAAATAGAAAAATCATGTATATTATCAGAAATTACAATACGCTTTGTTTATTGAGAAAACAAAACCTAAGAGAGAGAAAGAAAAAGGGAAGGGGGAGATTATTATTATATCTACCAGAATTCTGATCGGACTCAGACTGCGGCGGCGTCGATAGTTGCATTGGACGGAGTAGAGGCAGGAGGAGAGGCCGGATGTGAAGATCCATCGGTAAATCGGTGAGAATCGGCAGGAAGGACAAGAAGAGCATCGTCGGGATCATCGGAGGTTGAGAGATTGATGCAAGAACAGCGTTCGAGAGACGAGAAGAAAGCGGTTGCGAGATTCATACCTATCCAGTTGGCCATGCCGTTCCAGCAAAAGCTTTCCTCGTCTCTCTCCATAACGGATTGATCGATTCCTTTGATTCTTCTGCTGAAGAATGGAATCGGAATGAGAATTAAGAGAATAACCAAATTCTTGATTCGATTTACTTAGGTTTATGACAAAAATAAATAATAGAGATTTGGGTTAAAGCGTTACTCTTTTTTGGACACAGTATTTTCGGATAGATGGGCTGTCGGATTGACTTGCCATCTATTTTCATCTTTCCGGTCTTACCCTTTTAACTTTCGTTTTCTTTTTCTCTTTTCATTTTCGCCCCTCCCCTACATAAACAGGTGTAATACAAATTGATGAATCTGATTTTAGATACAAACTATGTGGCTTTTAAAACAAAATATCTAAAACAAAATTCACAGTGAGATCTTTTAAAACAAAATAAAAAATAAAAGGTTTATAAATATTTTTTTTTTAATTTTAATAGTTTGTTTACATCCTATAGATAAGGATATTAAGATTATAATAAATGGTAGGCAAATGAACAATAACATGTGTCATAATCTATTTTTAGATGGTAAAATTAATGCTTTTAGAAATCTATTTTTAGATGGTAAAATTAATGCTTTTAGAAATTATATTTATCATTCAAGGAGAAACAATATTATGAGTTTTTTCACTCTAAAAAGATCATATGTTTCTGGTATTAGAAAACTAAAGTGTTATAGACAATCGGTATCAACGTTAATTGTTGAAACACGTATTTTCATGTTTGACCAATTTACTTGAAGCGAGTTTGAGAGTTGTTTGTCCGATAGTAAAACCATCAACTCTTAATCCCACCAATTAGGATACCTCAGTCAAATTTACACATGCATGTTTTCCTCTTATCCACTCATACACTAAAACATATGTTGGCCTAAGTGTCGACGTCCTATAATATGGGTCAGTTAAGAAATTCACAAGTGCCTTTTTCTTCACACAACCACGAAACGCCTAAATATATCAAATAACACATCCCTAACAAAGTCATGTCGGTGTTGCAAAATCCTAGAAGCTCCTTATAATGAATAGTATGTTTCCCAAATGTATTTAAGCATGACTTGCGGCAAACAGGGCAAACCTCGTTAACAGATAAGAGGAAAGTTTTGAAGCTGCACGTGAAAGTTTTGAAGCTTTGGAGAGCACAATTGAAGGGCTAGAGAAAGGTTTGGAAAGTGTATAAGAGGACAATATAAGTGTCCCACCAATGATGCATAAGAGGACAATATCATGTGAGGAGGAGAATTTAAATGAATTGCAGCACGTGGATGCATCTTTAAGAACTCTGTTGCCAAAATGCAAGCTGCACGTGAAAGTTTGAAGCTTTGGAGAGCACAATTGAAGGGCTAGAGAAAGGTTTGGAAAGTGTATTTAGAAGTTTGGTTAAAACTAGAGTCTGTCTTTTGAACATGACACAGTAGTTTGTTGGATCTTTATTTTCTCCCCAAAGCAAGCATCCAAATTTTAAGGATCTGCTGAGGATTGAAATATTTTGTTTATATAGATAGATAAATACAATACAATAGTCATACATTACAATCAAATCTTTTCAACATAATTAGGAGGGTACGCAGGCCTCTACTTCCTTCTTTTATAGAACAAAGTAGATATATCAAGTGTAAACTCTAAAATATTAACCATAGAATAGAAGTAGTATAATTCTTTGTTTACTGAAAATATACATGATACAATTAAAATGTAGATTTATTGCATACAGTGGAAATAATACAATTTCAAATTTATCCTACTAAATTGCAGAGCCCTCAATATAGAGGACTCTTCCAAAAACTAGCTTATGCCGCTTATTGTGACGCTGACACGGTATTCTTTAGTAAAAGGCGAAAGAATAGTTCGCTATGTCATCATCACACGGATCCGTGGTTGTAATAAGTAGATGTCCTTTCATTTTATATAAGAGTAGTTTAGTTTCTGTTATTCCATAGACGGTATAGGACTTAAGTTTGTTATGCACTCAATTGACCCTATCTAAATAACCAGAGTATCCCAGTCTAGCAACAATTGAATTTCAATGCAAACATAACACATGAAACAACAAAGAGTAATATCTCACCTTGCAACAGAGGAGCTGTATCATTATTGAGCTAATTGATCTGTTCCATCTTTTAAAAACCTCACCAATGAAAGAAGATATACAACACCCTCGCCAAAATGTGCAAGTACATACTACACATGGGAAGAAGACCACTCCATATCTTCCCCTAAAATTTTCTCATCCACAAGTGTTCCAGAATAAGCTGGCTCCGGCTTGCTGAAATGGTAACATCACCAACAAAATCTAGAAAGATTAGGGACTTGTTAGAAGTATATACCCAAACTTACAAAAAAAACCATTCTATTACTCCAATGCCTGTTAAGCACAGCAAGACTTATAACATTTGTAATCTGAACAAAATGTTCTTTTATATGAGCAAAATGAGAATGGCTCTTTAAATTATTATTATATTAACTATGTTTATAGTGACAGTGGCCCTCCGACTTTAAAATTTTTCAAACTAATTTTGAAGGGGGCCAAAAAAATACTTTCAAACTAAATTGGGAAGGGGCCGCGCGAATGCTGGCCCCCACAGAAACAATTTACAATGTAGACTCTATCACTTAAATAGACCTTAGACTAGCACCCCTCCTAAATGCAATGGAGGTCACTTACCTAGGCCATGGGCCTTCTAAATAACCCATTGACCCCATCCAGGTAAGTATGTTTCAATGTGTCACACACTTGTTATTTATATCTCATCTTCCGTACTATTCATTCTAACAATTCCGCTGTGAGACTCAGATAACATGAGATTGATCCATCCCATAGAAGAAAAGGAAAAATACCATTAAGTATAACTCTCTGCATTTTTTGTTAAAGATAATGATCATTTAAATCTAAACCAGGACATATTTGTTCCTAAGATTTAGTGTTCTTGTATGTATACAATATATATTAACTTGGTGGATCAACAATTTATACACCAACACACATTTGCCACCTCCATTAGGATCAAAATATATTAATATGGATAAACCATATTGCTGGTCTGGAATCTCATAAGTGGATATATGTATAACTCTGCTCTCGTTACGAAATTACCTGATAGGGAAAATGCAGTGGAGGAGAAAACCAATAGGTTTGTGGGAGTTGTAGTTTGTCAGTTTGAAAACCAATAGGTTTGTGGGAGTTGTAGTTTGTCATTTTGCTGAAGAGTTATTTTATCACTACAATACCTGTTTCATGTTATTATCTTGTGCAATAAAAAAAACAGTTTGAAAAATCAATAATACAAGACTAAACACATAAAAAAAATTGGTCTAATATTGTAGGACTTTACCCAAAAGGGAGTCCTTCCAGAAATTCTCAAAGGCTTGAGTTGAACCCAAGCCTAAAGGCTTGAGTTGAACCCAAGCCTAAGAGGGGGTTTGGAAATAGTTTTCAACCAGCAATAGACGCGCCTCGGTTAAAACCTCACTAGCTGCGTCATTGCCCCAAGCGCAAAGATAAAAAATTTCATTGAATAAGCTTCCATTTTATATAACTTCAAACTTATTTAATTCATATCATTAGCAGTGTGGGACTAGGAGGTTTGGCAACAACTAAGACAAGCAAATAGTAGAAAAACAGCTCAGTCATCAAACAACTACCAAAGTTCTTGAATTTTACTTGCTTCTAATCCACAGCTTGACCCCTGCTTTTTCTACATCTGAATCCTTTCAGTGGAAAAATATTTAGGAGACAAAGATGGTGTTGATGGAATCATGAATGACAAGTCCAAGATAAGTTGATGACCATACAAATCCTGACCGGAGCTAACCTAACATTTGTGAGAACAAGCTTGTATACAAACACTTTCCTCAGTTGTAATATGCATCCTGAAAAGTTTAATACATAATCCTGAAGATTGTATCAGTAACCGACTTTTGGATCATAATTTGATTAATAGAGATAAGACACTTGACATGTTGATTGAGAAGTTAGTAGCTAACCCAGAGGGGGCTGAAAATGAGAATATGCAAACCCCTGGATGTCAGGTAAGAATCAACTGATAAAGACATTGTAGAAGGATCATATGTCATCCTTTCTAGCTAATGCTCATCACTTTTCATGCATGGATACTACATATAATGTATCCGATTAGTATGACGAATGGTTTTATTTGTAAATTATTAAGAATTAATAATCTTGAGTGTTTTTCAAAATGACAAGAAAATACACAAGTGAAGAATAAATTCTCTCTCAAATTCCTTTCAATTTGATCGTCTCTCTGGTTCAGTTTCATTCACTAATATGGTATAATAGCTCAGAAGGGCACTAAGCTACCCCTTCTTCACCATGCCACCACAAGCTGCATACTAAGAGTATCTTGCTAAAAGTACTTCAGCCCCTCTTGTCACTTTTCTGGATGGTAAGAAATACCATTCCTAGTCTTTGATTATCATGATGAATAAAATTAGGTTTTTGGACAAACTTGCGCGCAATTTTTGCAAGGAGTCTGGGTTCAGATTGCAGAATAGCAGAAAGATTTTGCAAAGCAACAAAAAATTGATACTATCAGTTACTATCTATTTTACAATAACTTGTGTGTTGCGTGAAGAATTAGTTTATTATGGTCCCTTTTCTTGTCTAGTGAAGTGTAAACTTGAAATAAACAGCGTATGCCGCTATTTGTGACGCTGACACAATATTCTTTAGTAAAAAGCTAACGAATAATTCACTATGTCATCATCACACAGCTCCATAATTGTTAGATATTAGAGGTCCTTTTGTTTTATACGTAAGCAGCATAGTTTATTTTATTATGTAGATAATGTGGGACTTCAAATCTGATACCCACTCACTTGACCCCTCCCAATCTAGCAAAAATTGGTGACAAAAACTCACCTTGCATATGAATAAAAATGCACATGAATAAAAACTCACCTTGCAACAGAGGAGCTGTATTAAGCTAATTAGTGACAAAATCTGCTATGGCTAGAGCCTATATAGCATACAACAAAATAATCCTGTAGAAGATAAAGAGAT